GACCGGAGCTTCCGGGATCTGCCTCCCCCGTCTGCACCCTGCCCGCCTGCTCCCGCGCCCGGGCGGCCAGCGCCGCAGCAGCCCCTGCCAGCCAGCGCCGGCGGCCGGGCCCAGGTTGCGGCGGAGTCCGCCAGGGCCATGGGGCACCCGCCGCTGGAGTTCAGCGATTGCTACCTGGACAGCCCCAATTTCCGCGAGAGGCTGAAATGTTACGAGCAGGAGCTGGAGAGGACCAACAAATTCATCAAAGACGTGATTAAAGACGGGAACTCGCTGATCAGCGCTATCAAGAGTAAGTCGCAGGGGGCTGAAGGGCTTGGCGTGTCCCCCCCCTGCAAGGATGCTGGTACCCCTGCCTTATTTTCATGGTCGCCCAGCTGCCTCGTTGGGAGGAAGCTTAAACAAACCTCTTTGATAGGCACAATTGTTCTTTGCAAGCTTTGGGTGCAAACACCCTTCTTCAGGCAATAGGGACAAAGGGGTTTGTGGCCCAAAGCTGGCAAAGAACATTTTTCCCCCCCCAACTATTTACTTGATCTAATAAAAGATATCGCACCTTCCCCCGAAGAGCCTTGTCTGCCTGTGTCCTTAGACCCACACAGCTACAACCAACAACCACAACGTGGGCAAGGAGCTTGTTTCACGGTGGTGTGTTTAGACTGCAGAAAGAATAGATCTGAGCTGTCAGTACAAAAGGCTTCTCTCGACTATGATATTTCCTGTGGTTTTGTATCCAGAGCTTGTTATTTCTGTGCGCAGCTTATTCGGAATATTTTTCTGTTCTTGCTGCTGACCTTTTTTGAACAGGCCTTTTTGAATGAGTGGACTGGAGTGCGCAGTGTATGTATTTGCAGTGGATGGTGCGCCATTGATAGGTGACATTTCTTCCAAGGCACTGAAAGGGGTGGTAGTTTTAGTTTACTAGCAACTGTTTTATTTGCCTGTTTTGTTGAAGCTGTCAAGCAGGTAAGTATGATAAGATGTAAATGCAGAAGTGCATTTAGTTTTTTTCTGTGGTAGGCACCAGTGTTTTCCAATGTAAATCGTACCTCCTTTAAATAAGGAATATTTTTTTATACAGTAATATTAAATACCATTTCATAATCTGATTTCCTTAGTGTTGGGCCTAATGTATGTCAGAGCCAAGACCTACCTTTGTGAGTGGTAGGCAAGCAAAAGCAAACATTTTAATGTATCCAGTTCTCTCCCTAAGACATCATACTGTTTTGCTACCATGGAAGTTATAGATTACAAGGAGCTAAGGCTTACATATGTGCTGGCCAGTTTTATCATCTGTCTTCAGAGCTGAGTATTGCTTTTGGAGTCAGAATAAGTTAGAAGATGACAAACAATAATTAAAACAATATCAGTGAAGGTGGAACTTCCTGCTGTGCCGACACGTCCCTGGATGGAATAAATCCTAATGCAGGGGAGTTATTTTAAATGATTACATTATTCAGATTTTAATTTTTGACTGAGTTTGCTTAGACTGTATGGTCCTTGGAGCAGTGATTTAAGTTTTTGCTTTATATATCATACCAGAGATAATGTCATCTCCAGGTAAACAATATACTCCTCATGTAAGACATGAGATTTTTCTGCTCATATGAAGACCAGACACAGCAGGTCACCTCACTAATGTAGAGCTTGCCAGTGGAACGGGCCACTTCTAGGGTAGGAATTGAATGTTCTGTGTCCTATTCAATCCTTATTCTTTATATGAAGACTCCCAATTAATATCCATTTCCATACTGGTTTTACTGAAGAGGATAGTAGCTTTTGGAGAAGTAACTGAGAATATGCATTGAGAACACTTGCCCATTGTCAGGATAGGGTTGGACGCTAATCAGTGACATGGAAATGAAAATTTTGGTAGCCTGTGTCAGTTCCCTCAGCCATCCTTTTGTTTGATCAGTTGTTTATATTAATGTAAGGTGCATAAACCTCACTTTAGCCCTCTCAAAAAGGTGAGTAAATTGCTACCTTTTTTGGTTTGGTAATACAGCCAGACTAGTCGGTTTCTACTCATAAATTAAGTTCAGAAATGATCAGGTTAGACTTTTGGAGGTGGGCCTTTCTTTTTTTTTTTACTTTGATTTGAGTAGATTTAGCTGACACCAGTTAGAGGTGAAAACTTTAAAACGCTTCCAAGTGACCAATAGACAACTCAGTTTCCTATCTGTTCACAAATATCTTATCTAAACAGATTAAAGACTATTTAGATAAGGTAGATAAATTTATACGTCTGCAGGGCTTGATGAAATTCATCCTATGGAAGTTTGCAGAGCTAAATAATCCATTAATTGTTAGCAGTCATCTTCTAATGCGCCTGGGGTACAGCAAAGTCCCAGTGCCTGTCTTCAAAAGCAGGAAAATGGAGGATTCGGGGAGTTGCAGAAAAGTCAGTCTAACTTTGATCCCTGGAAGGATTTTGGAACAAATGGTTAATCAATCATGCAAGTACCTGGATGATAAGATAACCATCATGGTTTTGTCAAGAACTAATCCCATCAAACCAATCTAATTTCCTCCTTTGATACACTAAGTAGCCTAGTGGAAAAGAGGTGGGAAATGGTGGATGTGATGTATTTTGACTTTAGTAACGTTTCAACAGTGTTCCACCTGACAAAACAAAGGAAGTTTAAAAAAAAAAAAAAAGGTCAAGGCTCTCCTAAGGCTACATGGCCCAGCATTGTTAAAACACACAAAGTTTTTGTTGCCAGTGGCATACAGTGTTTCAGTATGGCTACTACCACATCTAGCCACCTTTCAGACCCCAGCCCAATGACCAGGTACCCATTTATGGCTGGGGCAACTGGGGTTGGTTCCCATAGCAAGGCTCAAATTTCCACCTCTAAAGATGTAGTACAAAACCTTGACTGCTCTGTTATGGCACTTGTTGAAGGATGTATTGTCTGGATGTAATCATCACTAGGTTGGTGCACAGTTCCTTGAAAAATAATTTTCAAGTAGGTATCAATGATTTTCCATCAGACTTGAGGGAGGAACGGAGGGGATGTATGTCAAGTAGGCTCCTGTCAGGATCTATCTTGGACCCAGTTCTGCTTAATATATTTATAGATAACCCCCAGATCCTTTTCTGCCATACTTCAATGTAGCCAGCTGTTCCCTGTTTCGTATTTGCACGTTTGATTTTTTCCCCCCCACTTCAAAAGTGTCCTGCTTAGTACCCGTCTTCACTGAATTTTATCTTGTGCATTACACTGTACCTCCCTTCAATTTACCAAGATCGTTTTGATTTCTGCTCCTCTCCTCCGAAGTGCTTGTCACCAGCTTGGAGTCATCCAGACATTTTCACCGTCTAAGTTGTTCTGCTTAATATAGCTATATATAATATATCTATAGGTATATTAAGCAGAATTGGATCCAGGACAGATGTATATAAATTAACAACTTGGACAGTGGGCCACCTTCCTGCAGGCTTAAATGCCATCACTGCCTTGCAGTTGTGCATTTTAATTTAAAACTGTGTGAAATGAGTGTAGGCTACATTGCCTTGGGGGAGAATTTTGATTTAGTAGCATTTTCTATTACTTTGCTCAGGTACAAATGATGTCACAATTAATGTGCACAGCGGTGAAGGATTGGGCCTCAGAACCTTTCAGCTCTTCCAGAGTGGGGGCTGCCCGTCCAATATCTTTCCACCTTTGAACACCTAGTGAAACTGGTGGATGTTTGGAATCAAAGAAGCCTTTCAAGTTGGACTTCATCGTGTATCTGCAGGTCAATAACTACCAGTTCGTTCAGGCTATAATTCAATGTCTTTCCTCCCTTCTATTTCTGATTTACCCATTACTGTGAGGTTGAGATGTTTGCCTGGTTTCCTGGGCTTTATTTTAAAAAAGAGAGACATCCTCTGAGTGAGTGGGTATCCTATGGTTAGGAGAGAAATGTTTGAACATAATAACTACAGTAATGAGGGTATCAGAATTGTATAGGTAGATATCTTGGTGCACTGCTGATTAGCCTGTGCCTGAGACACTTATTTGGAAAATGGTCCAAGATATTGATTCCTTTTATTAAGTGTGTTATTAAGTACGTTAATCCATCAGTTTTAAAGTTTTGTTTATTGGATACATATTGTTGTGTAGTAAAAAAATAGATGCATACATCGAAACCTAAGATTTCAAGCAATCTAATTGCATTCATTATTTTGCTCACAGGCATCTAATAGCCAAACACCTGCTGTTTCAAGATGACAAGCTGTACAGCCTGATTACGGTGGCAGAAGATTGCTGGTTAGAGGGCTGAAATGCAGCATTGTGTGTCTATATATATATATATGTATAAATACATACATCCTTTTTGCAAACTCAGCACATTTAGAAAAGCAACCAAGGCAAAAATATAATTCTTGTATTACAAAGACACAGGATCTGTTCAGACTTATGACACACGTAGAATAGACCTTGGACTTAGCTTTACAATTTAAAATTTTCCTGCCTACTTATTTTCCATTTTCTGTATGCATCTATCAGCAAGTAAGAGTAAAGCATAGCTGTCTCTTCTCTCCTTTAACTATAATGATTTCAGTATAGTAATTCTTGACTTGTAACAGCTTAAAGGAAGAACTGGTTCCCAGTCTCCAGAATTCTATAAATATCATTCTGGGAGCCAAAACTTGTGAGCCTGGCCAATGGAGATGTGCAAGTACATCCTTCTGTATTGTGCATTGGGACAGCCTTCCCATCTTGAATAAGAGTCTTCCAGACGTAGATAGATTTCACTCCCTCATATTTATTTGTTTATCTCCTTGACCCAATTGCTATTTCTAAATGGCAAAAAATATTGCGTGCAATTCATTAAAAAACTGAACAACGTAATAAACTGTCCACCAAGGAAAAGTAGCCAGATTAGCCAGTACATTCTGTAGAAATGTCTAGTAGAATCATGAGAGGATTTATCTTTTTTAAATCTGTTCTGACGCACTAAATAAGAGCCAACAAAAATAACAGGAGCTGGGAGGTTTCCAAGGGAATTGGAGCACCTAGCACCCACTGGGAGTCATTCAAGTGCATGACTTGCCCTGAGATCTTTAGGTGTCTTTGTGACACCCTTAGGAGGAAGACAGTGAAGAAACGCATACACTGCTGAAGAACTCTAGAGTAGTAAATAATGCTGTTATCCATCACTGACCCAAATATTTGTAGCAACTTTGTATATGAATTTTAGTGCAAACTTAAAAAAAATAATTTTAAGTGCATAACACTGCAGACTGACAACCTTAAATGCTAAATGCAGATTCAAATGTAGGTGTTTTGTTTTGGTTTG